CAGTAGATCTAGAGCATTCTCATGCAGTATATCTAGAGCATTCTCATGCAGTAGATCTAGAGCATTCTCATGAAGTAGATCTAGAGCATTCTCATGAAGTAGATCTAGAGCACTCTCATGAAGTAGATCTAGAGCACTCTCATGACGAAGGGTCGGGGATACTCAAGAACTTGTACTTCTTCTTTGTGATGTCGTAGCAGTCGTTCAAGGCGTCATCGTCGACAAACCAGGACACCTTGCCCGCCGCTCCCTCGTTGACAATTGAGCTGGGCAAGCCCTTCTCGGGTCTCTCCATGATGATTCTCATGATGGGGGCCTTGGTCAACCCCTCCACGACGAACGCAACACGCTGGGCATGGCAGATGACGGGGATCGAGAGGGTGATTCTGTTTTCAGGGCCCAGAGGCGCGTTCGACACAGGCATGCACCATGCCAAGTCCTCCCGCAACTGCTCGCCGTGGTTCGGAAAGAGCAGCGCAATGTGGCCGTCCGGCGCACAGCCAAGAAGCAACAAGTTGAACATGGGCAACTTGACGGAGTCCTTCTTGGCAAAGTTGTCGATGAGTAGCTTCTCGTAGGCGTCCGCGCACTCTTGAGGATCACTGATCAACAGCTCGTCAATGTGGTATACGTTGGGCTTCTTGTCGCCCTCGATCAAGTCGAAGATCATCTGCTTGGCCTGGGCGTAGTTGGAGTCCGGGCTGTCGAAAGGTACCATTCTCTCGTCCGCAAAGTAGACGTCCCACCTGTCCCACTCGACCTCGGCCTGCCGGGACAACAAGCCCTGATGCAAGATCTTGATGAGCGAGCCGCCGCTGATGGCGATCTTGAAGCGCAACTCGGACCGTTTCTTCAACTTGGGCGTGCGGCGCGAGCCCTCGCCGTTGGCGAGCCCGCCGCTGTTGCTTCTGCTGTGGCCGTGTATGGAGGCCGACGACGGCATCTGCAGCAAGGAGGGGCGCAGGGCGGCCGCGAGCTTCAAGCCGGCGATGGCGGCCTTGTCCAACGTGTTGTAGAGCGTGTTGTTCTGGGCGGTTATGATGTGGTCGGCGACGGCGTCGGCCACTCCCTCGAACCCGGGGAACGAGTAGATCAACGGCACCTGGGTCGTCATGGCCGCGCGGGCTGTGTCGAGTCTTGTTGTTTTGTGGTTGGCAGCGGGCGGCTGGCTCCGGCTGGGCGCGGGGCAGATCAAACGAGGGCCAGTTTTCGGCCGGTTTTTCAGTGGGCCGGTTTATTAGTGGGCCGGTTCTGGGGCTGGCAAGCAAGCGTCAGTTGGCAAGGGGCGGCGGTTAACAAGAGCAGCGCGGGAACGGGTCTGGGGACGCGAGCAAGAAATCCGGCACGGCGGGCTTGTTTCTTTTTTCCGGGGGCACACAAACACGGTAGGCGGGTGGTTCTTGGGGCCGGGTCTCTGTGTGTTGCGAGACGGCGGGTAGGGCAAAAGAACCAGAAGGGTCGGGCCACAAAAAAGCAAGGAAAAAACAGCGGCGATCGGGGGCGCGGCGGGGGATCAAGGGGCAATGCTGCTGACGCGGGTTCAGGGGGCGTGCTTGCAGAACGGGGCGCTTGCAGTTGGGAATTTGCTGGCTTTTTAAGAACTAGTCAGGGAGGAATAGATAGGAGGGGGCCGGTAAGCACGGCACCGACGGGGCGCGGCACGTGACCCGCACGCTGGGCGCGCGTTGCGGGTGCGAAAAGCGGGCATGCACATGTGTGGGGTGGCCCCGGCCTGGGAGGAACCAGGCACCATACTAAAAAGACACGCTGAATTCGGGGAGCCGCGGCGGGCGCCAGAACACCGGCTTTCAGCCACGGCGGGCAGGGTGGCACATCACGTGACGCGCGGCGGCTGGTGTTTATGTGGCCTGCACCGGCCGGCACGGCGAATGGGTAATAATGCGGCGAGGCCGTGGGCCCATTTTAATGTGAGTTTTTCTCTTTGCTTCGGTGCGCGCTTGGGGCCTGGCTGGGGATGCGAAGATCGATGCCATGGTCGTTGAGAGTCCTTGTTCTTTGTTTGTTTTTTGTTTTTTGTTTTTTGTTTTTTGTTTTTTGTTTTTTGTTTTTTGAGGCGTTGTCGACACAACAGGGAGTGGCGCTTCGTTTTTTTAGGTTTTGCAAAGTGTTTAGTTGATTGCTTGTATTGCCGATTGTTTTTTGATTGCTCAGGTTCTTGTTTGGGTGGTTGTTTGATTAGCTGTGTAGTTACTCATTCAGGTACTTGTTGCGTTACTTGTTTCAGGTACTTGTTGAGTTAATTATTGAGTTACTCATTCAGGTACTTTTTGAGATACTTTTTGAGCTACTTGTTCAGTCACTTGTTCAGTTACTTATTGAGTTACTTGTTCAGTTAACTATTGGGTTACCTGTTCAGTTACTTATTCAGTTACTTGTTTAGTCACTTGTTCAGTCACTTGTTCAGTTAACTATTGGGTTACCTGTTCAGTTACTTGTTTAGTTACTTGTTTAGTCACTTGTTCAGTCACTTGTTCAGTTACTTATTGGGTTACCTGTTCAGTTAACTATTGGGTTACCTGTTCAGTTACTTATTCACTTACTTGTTTAGTCACTTGTTTAGTCACTTGTTCAGTTAACTATTGGGTTACCTGTTCAGTTACTTGTTTAGTTACTTGTTCAGTCACTTGTTCAGTCACTTGTTCAGTTACTTATTGAGTTACTTGTTCAGTTAACTATTGGGTTACCTGTTCAGTTACTTATTCAGTTACTTGTTTAGTCACTTGTTCAGTCACTTGTTCAGTTAATTATTCAGTTAATTACTCAGTTTGTCATTCAGCTACTCATTCCGTTACTCATTTCGTTACTCATTCCGTTACTTCTTCAGTGACTTCTTCAGTGACTTCTTCAGTGATTTCTTCAGTGACTTCTTCAGTTACATATTGAGTCACTTGTTCAGTAACTTGTTTAGTTAACTACTCAGCTACTTATTGAGTCACTTGTTCAGTTACTTCTTCAGTAACTTGTTCCGTTCCTTACTCAGTTGTTTATTGGGTTACTTATTCAGTCACTTATTCAGTTACTCACCCAGTTACTTCTTTAGTTATTTGTTCAGTTAATTACTCAATTACTCATTCAGTTAGTTATTCAGTTAATTACTTAGTTACTCATTCAGTTACTCATTCAATTACTTGTTCAGTCAATTACTCAATTACTCATTCAGTTACTTATTCAGTTAATTACTCAGTCAATTACTCAATTAATCATTCAGTTACTTGTTCAGTTAATTACTCAGTCAATTACTCAATTACTCATTCAGTTACTTGTTCAGTCAATTACTCAATTACTCATTTAGTAACTTATTCAGTTACTCATTCAGTTATTAATTCAGTTACTCATTCCGTTACTCATTCCGTTTCTTCTTCAGCTACTCATCCAGCTACTCATCCAACTACTCATCCAGTTACTCATCCAGTTACTCATTCAGCTACCCATTCAGTTACTCGCTGAGCTACTTGCTCGGCAAATTGTTCACTCAATGCTAACTACTTTCGTGTACGATCAGTTTCTGCGGAGATGGACCTGCCATTTTGCGTATTGCTCATTTTTAAAAAAAAATGCTATTAATAGATGAGCCCAATAAAAGACCCTTACAAATAGGACGTGAACTGAATGCGATGGAAAATCTCCTCGGTATTAATCGCTCTTTTAAGAAGTTCGTGGTAGTTAAACACGTCATGCTGTCCAGGCAATAAAGAAGCCAACACATGTCGTATCAGCCCTCAAGAAATCGTCAACACCAGATCTAACTCCACACGCGTCTGAAATCCACCAGCATATCTTACATATCCTACGTCTAAATTTAGAGCAGCCAAAATTGATCGAAAGCCCTTGGGAGATTTCTCCGTGTCTCAGGTTCGTTACTTTCACTACGTTGTACTATACTTTTGTACTGGAGACACTGTTCTTTTAGTACCTTAATAAATCCATGCAGTCTTCTGTTTCAAACTCAACCATCTCTGCTTGTCTGTACCATTCCTTTTCTCGACTTATTTTTTTGAACAGAAAGAAGAGTAAACTAAAAAGTATGAAGTAAGAAAGGCAGGCAAAGAGATCTTGGAACATATAACATTTGCGCTAAATATGATGTGAGCAAACATAATGAATTGTGAAGGATTTTCTCTCAAACGTTGTTTATCCATGGCATAGTTTCTTTCTCTTACTATACCTATACCTTCTAAAACAACAATAGCCAACCAGTACCCATGAGTACGAATGCTTCATCACTAAAAAAAATCGTATCGCACAACGAACATGCCAGGCTAGGAACTAGTCACTTCCAAACGGTAGAACTTGTTCCTGACAAAATGGGTCAATTCTTCACACACTTGGATTGGAAATCACGAAAAGCAAAGTCGCTTACTCCGAAGCGTGAAAAAAAGTCGTACCCAGGACATGGGCCATACCGACATCTGGAGATAGCTCATGATACAATCACGAGTAGTTCAAGCAAATGCTAGCAAAGACTCAGCGGCTCCAAAAAGAAGAGAAAAAAACCATTTATAAAGAGGCTTCCAAATCCTTGAGCCGCAAACAAAACAAGAAAAGCAACTCCCGATAGTGCCACAGCGCTTCGTTTGCTTATGCTCGCAGTCCGCCTGAGTAAACGGTGGAAACACTTCTGAAAAGCATTGTATAAGGCAGAATGGGTGAAGCGATACGATCTTTCGTCTATTCATCACTTTGATTACGGATCATATGTCCCCCACAGACTCCTACTACGTGAATCATCTGAATTATAATGTCATCCTTCCATACACCCAATCCACAACAACGGAGACGCCATAGACATTTTCACAATCCATCTCTACAACAATTAAAACACCCAAATGCTGGGGGCAAGAGCCAAGACTTGCCTAGACCATGAGTTGAAATCAAAGTTGGCTCTGCCGAAAACTCTTTGGAGAACTTCAAGGCACACACTCAAAGACATGGCGAGCTGCAGGGAGTTAACTCCTTAAGTCCTTACCAATCATTTGAGCAACTTCTACAGGATACCCATCCTAGCAATCCATGACGTAATATCCGATACGTGAACAGATACGGGCCATGAGGACTGGCCGTGACCCACGGAATAAGAGGATGGAATTTTGGTACTCGGTACGTATCTGGAAGCCGTTTAAAGGTATTCTATTCATATTGTTTGTATGGCTTTGCTCCTTCAATTAGGTGAATATACCAAGAGAGAATGAAAATCCAGGGAGTCATAACGGAAGAGTTTTCACACTTATTACGTTGCTGTAAATATCTATTATCTTCAGTATCGAGCGGTGGAATTCGCCGGGGAATATCTGCAATTCAGTTATCTCCATTTTGGCAAATTCATATAAATCTCGAAACCCAAGAGTAATGACTGATTAAGTCGATGTTTTTCTTATGTATTGAATTATTTTTGTTCGGTTTTAAACAATTCCAAGGATTTATTATCAGATTTTGTCTCAGGACAATTTAAAACCCCCCTTTACCCTCTTATACTATACACTTTATTAAATGATAATTACATATATTTAGACTTTTTTCTCTCTAAAGTTTTGCTCACACATCTCTTATAAATTTCAAAACATGTTTATTTCATACAGTATTCTGAGCTTTTAATTACGCACGATATTTGCTTTTAAGCTCACATTGTCTCCGTTAAGTTTAATTTTTCTCTGTTGTGTTTTTGATTTGATTTGATTTTATTTTATTCAAGTTTACCTTTCACAAAGACTTCACAACCTTTTATTACCCTCAGCCTTACTTTTTCAGATCTTATTATGTTCATATTCCAAGTAAACCAGATACTGAAGATATATTGTAACAACTATAGTCGTAGCTCTTACACTCAGGCAACAGCTACCCGGGGTTCCGCTCACATAAGTAATTATTTTGTATCTTCGTTGATTCTGTTATTTCTTCTGTTCTTCTTTTCGTTTCTCAATATTTGTATGGTCAAGCGCAGTTTTCCAGAGCCAGGATGCGCCGGGATTTTAGTAACATAATTTTAGTAACTAACCCGGGAGATGCTCCCAATCACTGACACACTCCACCAGGTGCTGGAGCATGGATGGCGCTGGACATACAATTTCTCGTGCCCCAGGTGTTTGCAAAGGCTAACGGTCACCTTTCTCTGATGCCTTCACCCAAATGATGCCATGAAGGGTCAGTGCCTGCGGGCTCGAGAGGCGCTCCCAGGATGCGGCGTCCACCCGATTTCAAGGCGCATATAAAACGTATGGACCACCCATTAGCCCGTCGACCATCGGCAATTCTCATATACCACCGCATTTCTTTGTCTGTTGCAGGTCTGCGCTGACCAGTCTATCGTCGTCGTGTAACATGCAAAATGGAGCCAATAAGAAAGTTTTCGTGGAATCAAGGAAACCGCTCTTTCACGTTTTTTCCTCTGATTACTGAGAACAGGCATGGGCTCAGATCACTGGGAGAAACACTCGCCTTGATGCCATGTGCAGCTGGCCGCACAACCCAGCAGACCGTTCCACCAGCAGCTACATGCTTAGCAAGACCGGCTCGGGGCAATTCTCTCGTCAGAAATGCTGCCCGAATTTCGCTTCTCACCTGGACAATGAATAGCTGCGAAGAACAAGGCAACATGCATACCCCATACTTCCTTATCTGCCGGACCGCGAGCCCTCAGCACTGTTCATCGATCACCTTTTCTTTCTTCAACAATCTTCAACATCAGACAAACATAAGGGGCTCAAGATGTATGCGTCGGGATTCAAACTAATACTGGGCCTAGTGCGCAAGTACCTCGCTGAGAAATTGGATGCGGAGCCTTCACAGAGTGCGCAGTCTTTGTCCTCAGACACCCATGCCCAATGGTCCGTGGGAGGCGATTTTAACAAGGCAACCATCACCGCCACCCGGCTCACCGACGAAAACACAATTTTGAATTTCATCAGCGGCGACGACGTGCGCGCGGTCCAGGTGCCTTTGCATGTGATAGGTGTGACTCTGCTCGATGATGTGGACGACATCTCACCCGATTTGGTAGCTGCTTTTACTGCTCATGTCGACGGCAAACTCCATCAGGCAGGTGGGTTCTGGAAGCTGCCCCCTAGAAAACCCGAGGAGGTTGGGCAGAACCCAAAAAACCAAGACACAGAAGCGCCGCGGCTCCCCGCGCCCCTGGCGCCCGGGGCGCCACTTCCCGGGGCTCGGCAATCCGCCTCAAGGACGTTTTCCAGGCCGCCGGACATGCCAGACTTCGAAGACGAGTATGAGTCGAAAAGCCGCGCTGGGATGACCCCGCAAACGGGGGGTTTTGGCATTGGCGACCGCGATCTCAATCCACCGGGCTTGCTGCGTGACCCGCCCATGAAACCTTATCTTGATCCGTACGGCGGAGAAGTTGCAGGCGGCGGCATGTATCCCACAGGAGACCACCCGATGTTTGGGCTGAGCCGGGGCAACACCTCAAGATTAGGCGTGCCTCCGGGGGCACGTTTCGATGACCCATATGGCGAGGATAACTTGGAGGATATGGGCATGGGTCTCCCTGGAAATATGAGGCATCCTCCCTTTGGCGGACCTCCTGGGCCTCCATTTGGGGGACCTCCTGGGCCTCCCGGGCCTCCATTCGACAGACCTCCGTTTGGGGGGCCTGGCGGGCCTCGCGGGCCTCCGTTTGGGGGGCCTGGCGGGGGCGGGATGTTCTGATTTTGGAGTGCCGTATAGAGATCTAATCGATATTCACTGATAGATGTACCTTCCGAATCGGTCAATCCCAAGGACAGTAAATGCGCATCGGGGAGGTTGAGGACGAGGACGAAGCAAGGTCGAGCCGGGCTTGCTCATCAGGTTTCGACAAGTTCCCCACACACATACCGGCACGCATAGTAGAGCATGAGTATGAAACTGCACGTCAAAGCTAAATGAGTTTGAACCTGTGCGTCGAAGCCAACCTGAGTTTGAACCTGTACGTCAAAGCTAAATGAGTTTGAACCTGTGCGTCGAAGCCAACATGAGTTTGAACCTGCACGTCAAAGCTAAGATGAGTTTGAACCTGTGCGTCGAAGCCAACATGAGTTTGAACCTGCACGTCAAAGCTACCTGAGTTCCAGAGTGTACGTCGAAGCTAACATGAGCGCATGCTACCTTTGCGATAGACAACCCCTTCAAATGACCCGGTCATACACCTCCAGACCAACATACAGCCCGCGCATGGCCAAGCTCACGTTCCGCGAGAAGAGAGCCGGGTTCTTGACCAACATGTTGGCGGCGTCCTTGTTGAGCGGGTCGTTCGGGTTGAGTTCCAAGAAAAGAAAGTTCAAGCCAAGAAGCACCGCGTTGAGCGAGAGCACCGGCGACCAGTCCTGACGCAAGATGTTGAGGCACACGTTGCCCTCCAAATCGATGTTGGGGTGGTAGATTTTCTGCACGCACTTGATGCGGGGCGGGTCGATCGGGTAGTTCTCCAGAATCTCCACCTTGAACCGAAACCGCCCGGCTTTGTAGTGGCCTTCGACAGGGCAGATTTCGATGTTGAAGTGGAACAAGTCCTGCGGGTCGGGCAAGTGGATTGCGATCAGCTGCGGGAGCTCCAACTCCGTGATGTCTTTCTGTAAGCGGATCTGGGCGGCGGACACTTTTCCGTGGACGCCTTCATCTGCGGGCAGCCGCAGCTGAGCGTTCTGCTGCTGTTTCTGTTTCTGGAGCTGGCGGATCTTCAACTTGGCGCGTTAGTAGGGGATGCGCGACGAAAGCGGGGGCGGGAGCACGTACCATTGTGGGGGATTTCGGCGGGTTTGGTGGTGGGTGTGGATTCGGGAGTCTCCACACGTAGCTGGCGAGGCCGGCGATGGCTGGTGCACGGGTGTTTCAGGGACGGCCGGTCCATATGGCTGAAAGAGGCCGGGAGAACACGCTGCCGGGCTGCTATGGGGCGTTCCGCGCTGGGGTGGTCAGGACGGGGCTTCCGATGTGATGCTGCCAGTTTTGTCGGCGCAGCCGAGTTGCTGGGGTGATACGGATGCCAGCAAGGGTTTAGTTTGGGTGCCAGCAGGGCTCTAGTTCTGGAGCAGGCCCTAGTTCTGGAGGAAGGGCCCTAGTTCTGGAGGAAGGGCCCTAGTTCTGGAGG